TACATACCATTCAATAATAAAAAGTCACGTGCAAGGATGAGATGTAATTTGTTTTTCTGTCCCCACCTTTTGATGTATTTAAAAACGAGAACATAAACGCCACTTGTGGAATACAAAAATAAATAAATAATAATAAGGGTAATAACAGATGACCACACCCAGTTAAGTGTCCAATTAAGAGTGGTCACTTTTTACAAAAATAAATAAATAATAATAAGGGTAATAACAGATGACGCACCCAGTTAAGTGTCCAATTAAGAGTGGTCACTTTTTACAAAAATAAATAAATAATAATAAGGGTAATAACAGATGACGCACCCAGTTAAGTGTCCAATTAAGAGTGGTCACTTTTTCAACATTTTTCTTTTTTTACAACCACAATCTAAAAGGAAAGGATTTGAAAATAAGTTTCCAACTCAAAGGCCTAACATTATTTGTTAATTACTTTGTAATCGTATTTCAAGATAAAGAGTTATTGAAAAATAAAACGTACATATTATTTAACCATCAGCTACACTGGGCTATCTCTACTGTTCCCACCACGGGGATTGAATCTTTCTCGAGTTTTAGAGTTAGAAATCCTCAAGCTTACCGCTGAACCATGAGGGGGGGGCAGGATTTTTGTTGATTGACTACTCGTAAAGTTGCGTATATTTGGAAGTTGCAATTATTTTGAAGATAATTATTTGATATTTGTGAAGGAATTTAGAATCACACTATTAGATAAATCGAAATAAAATAAACCCGATATTCAACTTAATGAAGTTTATTTTCGAGAGTTCCATTTTGTTGGGTTTGAAAATCTGACCGTTTTTCAGTACTTACCCTAACGCACTTCGGCAATTATAGGGGGATGGGGTCAGAATATAAAAACTGTTATATAAATGTTTTTATAACATTGTGCTTTTGGTCTTTACTTTTGACGACACGGTTGTTGTGTGTTTTTTTCTTGGGGGTGGGGGGTGGTTGTAATCTATATGCCATTTTGAAACTGATATACAAAAATGTGGCTTACTGTTATTCGCTTACTGGAAAAACCTAATCACTAACTTTGTTTTCTTTATCAGTAACCTTGTTACGTTTGTAAATCAAACGTGACCTGAATTTTCATGGCTGTATACAACCCCAAGCCTTCCCAAATGAACCATTTTTTTTTAAATGATATAATACTATGTTTGTATGCAATAATTATGACCCAAACGTCTAAACGAACAAATTACAACATGAACAGTGTTCATATTCCGAACATACAAGTTATTTCCATTATTTAAGCGATGTGACATAAACAGGAATATAATACGTAAACATTATAAATAAACAAAGATGAGCTTATTTCTCCAGGAAATATTACCTTTAATGTCCAATGTTTCACTGATGCGATTAAGCACGTGGACAATCTGTGCACCAAATGAAGCTGTAAAGTGAAACATTGGACAGTAGAACTACAAGTATTTTTCCCCTGGAGGAATTTTTGTTGTTGTTGTTTTTGTTTTACGGGTATAATTATACTTGTTAGCACTGAAGCTCATGTATGAAATGATGCAAGCTGTAATATGATGGATATTCTGTGTTGCTTATGGTCATGCAATTTATTTTTGTATTTACACTGTTAGGAGTCGAACCCGAAACCTATCTTACCCCAAACAAGTAGTGAACTGAAGGATTGACCACTAGGATTAGTAACTATCATAGTAGAGCACTTTTTAACGACTAGAAATTACCACGCGCTGTTTACACACACAAATCAGTTTCTTTCTCAAAGATTTTATTATTATTATGTAGTTTTAAGTTTTACAAACATGAATTCATCGCAGTTGTCATAACAGAAAAACATTTGTTGTGATAACACATTGAAAGTAACTTTCAATAAAACAGTTGTGTTAAACTTAAATCAAGAAAGAAGAGATTTACCGATCTTACCGTGTTGGTAATTGGGAAGTATTGTTGTAGCATTCTTTCAAATTATCTGGTGAAAATAATACAAGTTAGGCCTAGAAAATTCTATTGTAACGGCATACGCCCTCTAGCCAACAAAGAAATTACAAATTCGATGACGAGGAACCCGCTTTGATACTAATAATGCTTGGAGACGGCTTGAGTGGGTAA